AGGGTCGAAACTGTCGAATCGGTCAAAATTGTTGAAACGGTCGAATAGGGTCGAATCAGTCGAATTGGGTCAAATCGAATAGTCGCATAGGGTCAAATAGAATATAATCGATAGAATAGAATCGAATAGAATAGAATTGAATAGTCGAATAGGGTCGATAGAATAGAATAGAATAGAATAGAATAGAATAGAGTTGAATAGGGTCGAATAGAATAGAATCGATCAAATCAAATCGAATAGAGTCGAATAGAATAGAATAGAGTAGAATAGAGTAGAATCTAATCGAATAGAATAGAATCGATAGAATAGAATCAAATAGAATACAGTCGAATAAAATCGAATAGAATAGAGTCGCATAGAATAGAATCGAATAGAATCGAATAGAGTTGAATAGAATCGAATAGGATAGAATGGATAGAATAGAATCAAATAGAATAGAATCGAATAGAATCGGTAGAATAGAATAAAAAAAGCCTTTATTGTGTTGAGGTAAGTTCCTTCTATACCTATTTTTTTATCGTTTTAATCATGAATGGATAGTGAGTTTTGTCCAATGTTTTTTTCTGAATTTATCTGAGATGATTATGTAGTTTTAGCTTTCATTCTGTTAAAGTAGTATATCAGAATGATTTTGTATATGTTGAATTTGTATAATGTTTAAATCTGTTTTAAAACCACACTCCTGAAATGAATTCCAAGAAGCGATAACAATCATTTTTCAGAGGAAGCACTCAAGTATCCGTGAGGTGGGATAACTTCGTCATGCGGATCAAAATTGGTGGGACATTTGTGTGAATATATATGTATGCTATGTTTCACAATTTTTTTAAAGAGGTGTTTTGGTTTTGGTTTTGTTTTTTTTTCAGTTGGGTAGCAGAGGCAAAACCTATTTTACTGAAGCCCAGGTCCAAAACTCCTTTTGTTACCCACACTGCCTGTGGCACAAGGACTCAACAGGCATTGCCAATCTTAATTGAACACAGAGGAAGCTGAGCACAATGGATGACCTACATGGGCTGGTACATCAAGAGCCTAAGCCATCAGCTCTGTCTTCATCAGGACCACTACTTCTTGCAGGCTCACCAGTCTCTTCTCAGAGTCACTGGGCTGACTCAGGATCTAACAATTCCCGGCTCACCCAGAGGCTGTGAGGAATATTTACTCCTGTCAGTGGCAGCTGTTGGTACAGCCGGGGAAAGCATGTCATACCCTGCAGGGCAGTTTTACTCCTAATAAGGGAAATTCACTTGACGCACACTTTAAGGGAAATGTCCTGAGATGGAGCCAGAGCCAGATGGGCACTGAATTTATGAAAGGCACAACTGTTACCAGAAAACATTTGCAAATGTGTATGGGTATTTTTGTATATGTATGTGTATAGGTATGCATGTATGCATTTTACACAGATACACACAAACACACACACACACACACAAAATCCCTTCAGTTACAAGATTGTCTTTCCAGTATATTCTACAATATACTTTAAAATTTACCTTTAGTAGGGTGAATATGCAGTGCTTCACACATTTTAATGCTAGATTCTTGTTCTTATTATTGTTTTTTCCCTCCTGCCAGGTGCAGCTCATCCACTATAACCATGAGTTGTATACAAATGTCACAGAAGCTGCAAAAAGCCCAAATGGATTGGTGGTAGTTTCTATATTTATAAAAGTAAGTGTCTCAGGGCCGGTTGAGTGGCTCAGTTGGTTAAGATCTCGCTCAAGAATGCGAGCTCTGAGCAACAGGGTTGCTGGTTCGATTCCCGGCCCGAGCTGAGCTGCCAACAGGTGGCAGAATGGCTCAGCTTTAAAAAAAAAAGTGTCTCGCATTCCTTTGTTCTTCTCTTCTTGTCATTCCCACCCCAATCAGAATATCTATGTACAGTCCTGTTGGATCTTAGAAATAATAAGGGGTAGTGTCCGTGCCCAAAGAAAGATGCAGGATGGTGACTTTTATATCCATGAGATTTATGAAAAATGAGGTCCCTCTGAGTGAGATGCAAAAATGATGGGTTCCATTTCAGAGCATCAGGGCCTGAGGATTTGGGCAGCTTCTGTCCTAGAGAGAGAAATGGTGCTAGATCCAGGGACAGGCTTCAGGTCTCCTCTCATGCAGAAGAATCAGAAGGATGTGCTAGAAGGGGAGGGGGCAGCTCACTGACACCCCACAGGACGAAAGCCCTGCCCAGTAGTTCCCCCTTAGAAAAAGAGATCCAAGGGAAATGTGAGATGTTCCTTCCCTGCAGGTGCTGCATTAAACAGCTCCCTCCAGCTTCTCAACAATTGCTCTGAGTATCATCTTTTCCTCTCCCGCTTCCTCATAAGCACCCCCTCAAGTCCCCCCCCCATTTCCCCCAACCACCCCCCGGGAAACTTAAGCAAAGACCACCAAAGCTAACTTTACGACACTCTAGGGAGGCTCCACATCTTTCTAATAGTCAACGACCACAACAAATCTCCAACCAAGCCAACTCTAATCTGTTAAAAGGTAATTTACCTTTAACATTTTTGACAGATGGAGAGTGAAACCGGGATGCAAATACAGGAAGAAAGAAAAAAAGAAATTTTCTAATTGGAAAATAAAGAGAAAAAAAGCGATGTGTGGCATTTCCAAAAGCTGTCAGTCACTGTGCTAACAAACCCCTTGGAAAGTTTTGGCCCAGACCATTAGAGGAAGTACCCCAATAGGAGCTTGAACGCTCATGAAGATGATCAATAGAAATCAAGCTTTTACCACTAGGGGTTTTGAACTGAGTTTTCGTGATGACATTATCATTGCTCAGAAGAATGGGGACAGGGCACCCCAAGCGCTACTCCCTCTCCCTCCCCGAAAGCATCACCCTCTACATCAGGCACTTTGCCCTGCCCTGCCATCCCTTTGAAGACTCTACGCCTCCTCCTAGCTTCCTCTCCCTCACCTGGATCAGATCAGAGCTGTATATTGGGCAGGGGAATATGTGACACATTGCTGCCCCTGGCCACCAACACCAGATTCCTGTAGCTTGTCATTAGTAAGGATAGGAAGGGACTTTTGCACAGGAACCATATTCTTAGGCTAGCATGCTTTCATAATACCTGATGTGACATCCCAAAGAAATTGATCCTGCCATTTCCTGCTCTCCACCTCTTGGCATCATCACAGACCCTGTTATAATACACAGATTCCTGAATGCCAGGCCCTGAGTTATGTCCTTGACATACATTTTATTGTTTAACCATAATACATTTATGGAGTGGATAGTGTCTCTATCCTGCAGAGGAGGAGAATAGTTCAGAGACTCTTTGGCATTCCACCCAAGTAGCTTGTAACAGCCCATCTAGGAAATGAACCCAGGTCTTACCTGACTGTAATACTAATGGCCTTATTCACACTATATGCCTCCCCAACAGAGCTGGGAGAAAGCAACTGAGATGAATAAGAGTGGAAACGACATTTAAAAACATCTCCTCCATATCCCCATGCTGCCCACAAGCACAGGGTAAATTCTGTATCCCTCATCCAGCCCCAATCATGACACTGATAACCAGCTGGCGCATTCACCCCAGGCCACACTCACTGTTATGAAGCCTGCAGATACGTAACAATATTGGGTCATGAATGTCCAGGCACTCACCTCCCCTGTGGCTTTCCCAATGCCAGGCTTTCCATTAGCACCTCCCACGGTCAACGTGGGCTGCCCAACAGTGCCTGTCCTTTGGTGGGTGCCTCAGCCTCAGCCTTGGCCCCTTACTTTGCCTCACTTTTCTCAAAGCTCCTGAGCCAGGGAATGTCATCCTGGAAATGCAGGCACATTACAGCCGTCAGGGTCATTGAGATGCCAGAAGTCAGCCTCCTCGACAGCAAACTACTGGCGTGTCTCAGAAGCTCTTACTGAAATGCTCGCTCCACCGAGGTTACTGATGCAGGTCCTAGCTGCATTCCTGTGGGTTATTGGAAGGAACTTATGTCCCTGATCCTGAGGATGAAAGGATGCCTCCTGTATCTTCTCAGGCTCATTTGGCCCCTAAGGGGGCTCCCGTTCTTTCCCTGGGCAAACCTGAAGCTTTCTATCTAGATCTCAAAGTAAGCCCCAGCATTTCTGTCTTTCCAACAAAACCCACTTTCAGATGCTCTGCAGTGAGTTATCCAAGCTGTGACTCCTCTTTCACTCATCCCAAAGCACCGGCTGAGTGTGGGACATAGGCTGACCCTGTGCTAGGTGCTGGGATCTAGAAATGAGATGAACACAGCCCTTGGTCTCTAAGGGCTCACAACCTCGTCAGGCCTCCCCTCCTTCTGATCTTTCTGCTTCCCCTTCCCAGCTCCCTGCTGGATAGGCAGGCAAAGAAAATGAGAGGCCCACATCTGGGTCAGCTGAGCCCCAGAGGTGTCACCCTGGCCAAAAGCTGAGCCATCAAAGGGTTGGAGTTGTTGGCTAAGATAAGAGACTTGTTTATCTATAGGTTTTCTTTTTCTCAGGTCCCTTCTCATTCCCCATCCTTCCCATGACCACAGGGAACTCAGATCTGGCTGTAATTGCTGCTCAACCACACACCATTAACTTCCCACTTAAGCTCACTTATACCGAGTACATATTTTATCCTCTCACCCACGCAGTCAACACACTGGAGCCCACAAATCATCTGCGTGCACTTTGGAAATTTTTCAATTATTTTTAATCGGCTCGAAAGGGTCCAGCTCCGTTAGCGCTGCCCAGTTTCACCAGGTACCAGGAGTCCAAGGCACCCAATGATGGGACATGACAGATTCCTTACCTGCCACATTATATTTTGGCTCTCCTCCTTGCATGGGGTGCATCGGCACACACAGGTGGCTTCAGGCTATCTTTTCAGTGGCCAAAGAAGATGGCAAAGTCGAAGTTGGGTTTGGCACTAAAGGTTCTGGGCCACAGCAGACTTTTCTCCATTTGTGAGTGAGCTTTCCCAAACTCCATAGAGGATTGTCACTCACCAAGCTCCCCATGGCATGTGTCTCACCACAACACACCCAGGAAACTGTGAGAAAGGAGGGACAGATGGCAGGAAAATAAACAGTCTGTGCTTTCTCCAAACTAAAAATTACCTGTTGCTTATCTAATAATAATCATCTGCTGCAATTTTTCCAACCCTCGGAATACATCAGATTTAAAATGTTGACGTGTCACAACATCCGATTAACAGCTGAGACATAAATTACAGAGCAGAGCTGAGCCGGGCGAGGTAGGAGGGAAATAAATAGGATGAACAGTACCTTGGAAAAGGCTGAGTAAAATAGGGTTTTTAAGAAAACAGTGCCCACGGTTATGTGGGGGCACCTCACAGTCTCCAAATGGTGGTCCTCTGCTTAAGCCCCTTGAAACTTGGCTTGTTCTCCCAAAGAAGAAATTTGGAGACCTAAGGGCATGGGCATAAAATGGGAACTGATCCCTGAACATCTAATACAATGTTTGGCCCATGGTGGGCACCTGGTAAATATTTATTGGTTGTATGGATGCATAGATGCGTGGATGGATGGATGGATGGAATGGCTTATGAATATATTCAGTGTACGCAATGAGCAGTGATATAATAAGTTTCTATATTCCTTCTTAGAGATTTGTTTTCATCTCCTGATACCTCTGTTCTGGGTATTCTTTCTTTCTCGCTCTCTACTAGATTGCTATCCCCTTCCTAACATGTCACTCTCTACCCTCTGCTTAAAGCCCTTTGATGTTTCCCCATCCCCACAGCATCAAGTTTAAATGGCCTAACATTGAATGACCAGACATTCAAAGTCTGACATGAGCTAGCCCCTGCCTACCCCTCTAGCCTCACCTCCCATCCTTCCCCCATACTCTCAGCTCCAACTACACTGAAATACTTGCCTGAGCTTGGCTAGTTCTCCCATGTCAGTGTATGCACACATGTGTTTCTCTATGTGATGTTTTTCTTGACCCTTCCTTCTCCACACTCTACCACCAAAGCACTCTGTTAACTTCCTCCCATCCTTCAAGACTCAGCACATGCCTTAGTTCGCCAAATTCCCCATGTGCCTGGTCCTCCTCTAACATCATCACACCTGTGACTCCATCATAGTACCGTTCATACTATATTATGACCATTTGTTTACTTACCTGTCTTCTTTCTCTAGACTGGAGAATAGAGTCTATATTTGATCTCTGAATTTCCAGCCATCATAGTGTTTGGCTTATGGAAGGCATTTAAGAAATATGAATGAATAAATGAATGCATGGAGGCAATGGTTATCCTGGGATAGTGCTCCCCGGTCATTAATATTTTCTTTTCTCCCCTAGGTTTCTGATTCATCAAACCCATTTCTTAATCGAATGCTCAACAGAGATACTATCACAAGAATAACATATAAAAGTGAGTATGGCTCAATTTCCTATCCAACAACTATTCTATAAAGGTTACCCTGTCTGAAGGCGGAAAGCCAGAAATGATGATCTCCAAGGACCCCTTTCCACTTCATGACACTTTAATTCTATAGAAAGTCACTCTGTAGAGTCAGGGTTGACTAAGAAGCAGCTCATTTCAAACCCAAGGCCCTGGGGTGTCTTTGTCATCCAGGCCTGTCTACGGTGCTAATGATCATTATGATGATGGTCATCGTTATCCCATGGCTTGGTAATGAGCTGGGGGACTCGACTAGCTGACAAACTCCGCCATGTCAGCTGGACATATTTGGAGCTTGGCCAATTTTGGGATAGAAAAAGCATTCACCAGGCAGTTTGGATCCAACCTCAGCCCTGATAGAGGCCCTGCGTTGGACCAGATCTCCCTCCCTGCGTCGCTGGGTCTCATCTTTCTTTCTTTTTTTTTTTTTAATGAGCTTCGGAACCTTTTCTCCTCTTGAATTTTTGGAATAGTTTGAAAAGAATAGATTTTAATTCTTCTTTGAATATTTGGTAAAATTTACCTGTGAAAACATCTAAGACTTTTGTTTGTTGGGTGTTTTATTGATTGCTGATTTGATTTAATTAGTAGTAATCAGCCTGTTCAGATATTTGTTTCTTGTTGATTCAGTCTTGGAAGATTTTATGTTTCTAGGAATTTATCCATTTCTTCCAGGTTGTCCAATTTTTTGGCATGTAATTGTGTGTAGTATTTTCTCAATTTTTTTGTATTTCTGTGGTGCCAGTTATCACTTCTCCTCTTTCTTTTTTTTAAAATTTTTTTAATTAAAATTTATTGGGGTGACAATGGTCAACAAAACTACATAAGTTTCAAGTGTACAATTCTATAATACATCATCTATATATCACAGTGTGTGTTCACCACCCAGAGTCAGTTCTCTTTCCATCACCATATATTTGACCCCCTTTACCTTCTTCTACCACCACGCACCCCCCTTACCCTCTGGTAACCACTAAACTGTTGTCTGTGCCTATGAGCTTTGTTTCTCCATTTGTTTGTCTTATTCCTCTGTTGTTTTCAGTTTTATATTCCATATGAATGAAGTCATATGGTTCTCGACTTTTTCTGTCTGACTTATTTCACTTAACATAATAATCTCAAGATCCATCCATGTTGTTGAAAATGGCACTATTTCATCTTTTCTGATGGCAGAGTAGTATTCCATTGTGTATATATACCACATCTTCTTTATCCAATCATCTATTGAAGGACATTTTGGTTGTTTCCATGTCTTGGCCACTGTAAATAATGCTGCAATGAACATTGGAGTACATATATCTTTATGGATAAATGTTTTCAGATTTGGGGGGTAGATACCCAGGAGGAGGATTGCTGGGTCATATGATAATTCTGTTCTTATTTTTTTTTTTAAGATTTTTATTGGGGAATTGGGGGGATAGGAACAGTGCTTGGGAATTGGGGGAAGGGGAACAGACAAGTTGCTGTCCTTTTGTTCTTCAATCTACTTGTGGAGGACGTTGCTTCATTTGCCCAAGTTGGCACCATCATTGCGCTCTTCCCGGCTGAGGCAGATCAGTTGCCGGCTTCTGGACGGCTGCTCACTGCGGCTGCTGGCCGCTCACACTGGCTGCTGGCTACACACGGTAG